GGGGGGGGGGGGGGTGGTGTTAGAAATCAACTTTGTATCTGACAGCCAGGAAGACAGAAGATAAAGCCCGCCACAAGCACGGGGTCTGAAGAGAACAGTCTACTGTAGGAGCCAAGTGTTGTTTCATTTGGAAAAAAAATCTACTTCAAGAAGACTTTTCTCAGGGCTGGAGAGATGTCTCATTGGTTAAGGGCAATGGCTGCTCTTCCAGAGGTCCTTAGTTCAATTCTCAGCACCCACATGGAAGCTCATAACTGTCTATAATGGGATCTGATGGCCTCTTCTGGTGTGCAAATATATATGCAAAGTACTCATATACATGAAATACATTTTTAAAAAACCTTTTTTTTTTTAATTAAAGTTTCTCCCATGTCTGTAGATGCTCTCTAGACACAGTCAAATAGCAGGTAGCAGGTTGTCATTCTTATTTTAAATATAGCTGGTACAGGTGTCCCTTCAAGTCACGTCCTAGTGAACTGACACTCGCCATTTAAAAAATTTATCACTCCTGAGTTAAGTTTACTGGCAGGCTGTTGGTCACCGCTGGCACTACATAAGAGTAGGGAGCTATGAAATGTTCTCAGATGGCTTTTCCTACCTCTCCCCCCAGCCCAGGCACTGCGTCCTTCATACACTTGCAAAATGTATACACTTTGTTAACATGCAACTTTTGCATTCAGAAGCAACAAATTACATTTGTCTGAGCAGAATTGCTGTGTGCATGGAGGGGAAAAGTAATTTCTCCGCAAGCAGTTCCCGTTTCCTGCTCCTAGCCCAGGCTGTGGTGGCAGGAGTGGAGCTGGGGATGGCAGCGGCAACCCAGGAAGAGATGGGTGCAAGCCGCTGGGTTCTGGCAGCATGGGTTTGTAAACAAAGTGACACAGAGTGGGGCAGAAATTCCAGTGGGACCAGGCAGGAGACTGGAAGCCTGGAAATACAGCACAAAGCTGAGTCCCGTCCAGATGGTGTTTTTAATAAATGTATCAGGCTCATATGAAAGACAGTAATGAATGTTCTAAATGGGGAGTGGGCCCGTTCCTCTAGGGAGAGCAGCTGCACACTGTCCCTGTGCTGCAGCCAGGTAGGGACGCTGATTCTTCCCAGCACAAAGACCGCAGAAGGTATTTTGACTCCTATGTATTAGGCAGGCCAGGTAGGCACCATGAGGCTTGCATTTCTAGAAGAACTAATAATCCAAGTGTTTCTTGCTGTAAGGAAGGAAATAGCCTCTAGTTGGTATAGGTAGTAGTGACATTTGGGACAAACATCTCCTGTCACAGCTCCTATATGATTAACTTGGGAGAGGAGAAAGAATAAGGCCAATATTGTATATATACAATATATTGTATTAAAAATTTTAAAACAATAAAAATAATTCCCTGGGGGGAATAACAGATGAAAGATCTGGTTTTTTTTTTTTTTCTTTTGGTTTTTCAAGACAGGGTTTCTCTGTGTAGCTTTGCACCTTTCCTGGAACTCACTTGGTAGCCCAGGCTGGCCTCGAACTCACAAAGATCCTCCTGCCTCTGCCTCCCGAGTGCTGGGATTAAAGGCGTGCGCCACCATTGCCCAGCGAAAGATCTTTTATGTCTTTTAAAGCCACCTTCCTTTTTCCACTCCAAAATGGTTTCTTGTCCAAAGTATTTTACTCTACTGTGGGTGGCCAGACTTTGTTCATAGATCAGATTTTGATGAAAGACGTTATGAGGACAGAAGGGCCATGTGCTTATGTAGCAGTTCTGCTGCCAAGGCCGCTGGCCCTTCCCTGTCTAGGTCAGGACCCAGAGATTGATCGTGCCTTACTTTCCTAAGGAAATTTCCCCCAAAACAGTGGTGTTTGTCCGCTTTCATCCGTAACTTCAGATTTGTGTGCCTTTGGAGGAGGAACTGTGCTTACAAGATGTGGTGCCACAGCCTCATAGAGCAGTGGGAAAAGAAACAAGAGCCCCCTGCCCTTAGGAAACTCACCTACTACACCTCAGGGCAGATTAGCCAGACTTACCTACTGCCTTGGATATTAAGGACTGGGACAGGGCTGAAGTGATTACCATCAGATGACAATGGTTTACAGGAGGCCATCACCCATGGTTTCTGGACCCACATCCGTCCTCCCCGTCCCACTTGATGGCATCAGTTGCTTTTTGCATTGATCCAAACCAAGAAGAAGGAATGGAAATGAAGAGGGGCAGTGTTTGCTCTAAGAGGCAGGAGATGGAGTTGGCTTCCAAGTAGCTTTAGAGTTCTAAGAACGGCTCTCTTGAAAAGAAGCGTGAGCATGATTAGATGACACGGTGTAGTGGTTACCTTGGTGTGTGCACATGTGTTCTGTGATTGGCTTCTTCTAAAAGGCCTAACTGTCATTGTCTGGCCTGGCCTGGCTTCCCAGTGAACACAAGGCCAGGTTAGCTGTAGCCTGTGACAGTCCCTGGTGTCCATGGCTGATCGAGTCACATCATCTAGGGGCAAAGTGCTGAGGCAGTCACTTACAGCGTATGTGGGAATTATTGCACTCTGGAGTCTGCAAAGACAACTAGGAAAACCGAGTTGTCTCCCAAGCATGTCAGCATTTGAAATAACGATTGGCTCGGGGTGGGAGGGCAGAGACTCACCATCTTTGATTTGGTCTCCCCCCCCCCCCCCCCCCCCCCCCCCCCCCCCCCCGCACCCTGGAGCTGAGGACCAAACCCAGGGCCTTGTGCTTGCTAGGCAAGCGCTCTACCACTGAGCTAAATCCCCAACCCCACCATCTTTGATTTTTATAAATGGTGTTAAAAATGTGTGAAAAAATTCAAACATTCCTGTGTAGGAAAGTCCTCTGAGCACTACACATCGAAGGTTTGGAGAGTGGAAGGATGGGTACACTCATCAGGAATTAGAGCATCACCAGACTTTGGAATCTGTCCTCTAATAACCCGGTTAGCACAAGAGAAGGGAGGAAATAATGGAGAGAAGAGCTCAGTGAAGCCGGGAACAAAGAGTAGACCTTCAGTGTTGGCTCTGTGAAAATCCTGCGAAAGTGGGCAGATGTGCATAGGCGCAGATGAAAACAGAAGAAATATGTATAGGAAAAGGAGAAAAAAGATGAAAATGGGCAATTTACAGAAGAAAGATTGAGGGTAATTTTATAGGAGAAAAGGGAAAATAAAGTTCATTTGACAAGGTGAGAGACAGAACCCATACTGATACACCAATCACTCCCTGCTGGTTTGGTTGACTTCCTGAGTGGCTGAGGAAATGGAGCAGTGAGTGGAGAGTGTAAACTTTACAAGTAATTTGATGACTAATTTGTAAGATCTATGGAAGCTGGAGGCCATACATCCATAGCATCATATCCCACCATACCCATGAGTGTATTTCTGTCTCTGTATATGTCTGTACATGCGTACGTACATATATTTACATGTTTCTTTAAAAAAAAAAAAAAACTCTTACCTAGAAACTTAGAAGACACTTCTCTTTGTCATGGCAAGGAAAGAAAATGTTAACAGTCTAAATGTCCCTGGGGAGGAGATTACATTTTATAATGTCCATAGATTGCACATAGGACAAGGTGACTTTGTGCCCTCCTTTAATCCCAAGTTAAGTAAGGCCATGTAACTTGCAGTGGACAGTGAAAGGTGAGTAAAGGGATGTGCCCCTTTAGGAAAAGCATTTTAAGAGCTGCTGTCGTTGTACTGGGACCTCTGGACGGTTTCATCAGCAGAGGCACCTGGCTGATGGACTGCAGAACTTGAGTGTATGATAATGTGCCTGAGGGCCGGCCGGGGCTGTGTATTTCCGCCAGGCTACTTCCCAAAGCTCCTGGTCTTCTGCTTCCTAAACCCTGCCTTTCAAATCCCAGAAGGCTCCTTTTCCTGGGAGACAGAGGCAGCAGGCTTTACCCTCCAAGGATGGCATTCACCTCTGTTTTAAGAGTCATAGGGAGCTTCTTTTCGAGCCCTCTTTCTGCCACGAAACCGTCCTCACGGGGCCTTGCACGGTGTTTTTACTCTTGCTGCGGTCCTTGTCTGTGGGTGGTCTTCCTTGTCTAGGGAGCAAGACAGTTCGTTGTCAGGGACTGGAGTGCAGGCTTGTCCCACTTGGAAAATAAACTCACTGTTATAGGACAACATGAAGTTACTTACTCTGCACCACTAGGAGCCCGAGTGTTTTAGAACGGGGAGTGGTGGCAGTGTTACTCACTGTCTGTCTTTTCCGAGTGGCTAACAGTAGATTTAGGTTAGATGACTTGAATGTTTAAAGAGGATTGTAGGTTTTGATTACCTACATGAATCCTCAGCCCCAGGGCTTCTCATGCCTTTGTCTTTTACCATTCCCATCTTAGTGTTTCAAGAGTCTCTACATACTGAGCAGCTGTAATTTGGTGGGAGCCCTTGACTTTTATAGATGAGCAGGTTGATATGGACTTGAAGTATAGAGAGACTCAGAATCAAAACACAGCTGTTTTTTCAAGCCCCAGCAGCTCCTGAGCAAAGGAGGGCCCCTTTCTGGCCACGCAGTGCAAACACAGCAGAGTGGGTCGGGGAAGCAACTGCATTCTGGAGAGGGACTGATAGCATGTCTTGGGCCCCTTTCCCGCTCTACAGATTGTGTGCTGGATGCATACGTTTCCACTCGACATATATGTAGCTGTAGCTCATTAGACCATTACTGGCTTGATTTAACTCCCAGAAATGCATTAAAAAATGCATCTGAACTGATGAAAGTTTCTTATTGAGTTATGTTTTACAGTGTATTTCCACATTCTGTTATCATGCTCTTTATAATGAAATACTTAAGAATTAATTGCTTCATATGGTTTGGATATTCCAGCCCCAAGTTCAGTTTTTGTTTGTTTGATTACTTGGCATGGAAACTCCTATCTGAAGATAATGGAGATGTTCTAGTTTCCCTTTTATTTTGATCTGAGATGCTAATTAATTAGTTTTGTTCTGAGCATGCTGTAGGGATATCATGGCTTCTCTTATTCTGATGCTGGATCTCATGCTTTGGATTCACAGTTCCCATGGAGAATGTTGCAACAATCGCTGATTGTGCCAGTGTGATCGAAGGAGTCAGTCGGAGCCGAAATGCCTTGCTGAACGGGGACACTAAGAATTATGACTGGGATTCTGGCTATACGTGTCACCAGCTGGGAAGTGGTGCAATTGTGGTTCAGCTGGCACAGCCATACATGATTGGGTCAATACGGTAAGATTTCTTTGCATTTGTTAGTTCAAAGAGTACAGATACACATAATCACCAATAGCTTCACAGAAGAAATTCTGCTATTTATTATAAATCTTGGAGGCAGGGCAGGGAGATACCAGCTGTCCGTTTGGAGTGTTCTGAAATGAGACCTGGAGTCAGCAGAGAGGAGAGGACTGACTGAGAAGCCTCTCTCTGAGGATCTTACTCCTCCTGCAGCTGGAGACTTACGGGGTGATGTTGGGGGCTGGTGTGGGTAAAAAGCTGTTTTCAGCTTCCATAAACACCTTTGCATGTGAACTGGAGACCCAAATAAGAAACGTGGTTCTAAACAGTCTTTTTAGTGGCCTTGTGTTTGAGTTTCTTCTTGACCCGTTTTGTTTTAAGAAAGGAGCTTTCACTTTGCTTGACTTACAGGATTTTATTAGGTTTTAAGTTTGAGCCTGGTGATATTCCCAGAAAGTTAGTTCTCAAGGGTAGATACTGTTGGTTTACATCTGTCCGCTTTCCCCCTCCGCCCATCTTCTCCCCTCCTCTCTCCTCCCTAGCATCCTTTCCCCTCCTGTCTCCTCTCCCTTGGTTCTAAGGAGGCCTTTGAAGGGTTCCTATAGGAAAAAATAAGTATCTGTCTACCTCAGTCTGCCGAGGGTAGAGGTGTTGGCAGGTCGTGACTGCCCCCCACCTGGTGCTTTTCTTCACTTGGCTTCTTCCTCCCTACTCCGTCTTAGTCTGGAGGAAGAGCCAGCAGAGGAAAGTAGACGGAGGCAGTGTAGCAGACACAGGCCGTCCTGTTTTTGCTCAGGACAATGACCACAGCTCACTGCTGCTCTGTGGTTCCCACACGTGCTGAGGAGTCAGTGCTGGATGTCTTGAATTGAGACTGTTAGATTTCTTCATTTCAGTTAACCCCATTTCGTCAAGAGCCACATCATAGGCAAAGTATCAGAGGGGATAGATAAGGTGGGGCTAAGCACAGGGCTAGATGAACTCGCAAGCCGTGCTCCTTTCTGAGCTGTGTGCATTCGCTACTGTGTTCTCATGGACTGCCTAACAGGCATTCCTAGGACTTTGGTCATGGGTGATGTAAGCTGTGTCTGTAATTCCCTTTGCAGTCTGTCCCACCTCACAGATGTGCTGCTAACAGTTGTCTTTCCTTTGTCTTCTGGCACCGTCTTCCTACAATTTCTGGAAGATTACCAATCGTGTCTCTGAGATTACATCTGCAATTTCTTGCAGCAGGCTTGGGGTATAACTCATCTGAGCCAGAAGACTTGAAATCATTTAAATTGACTAGACACTTTCTCTCACTTCCCCTGTTTGGGACTTCAATTTTCCCTTTATTATGTTTGTTCTGCCATTTCTAATTTGAGGACCAGTCTTCTTACCAATGAAGATTGAAGCAAACAGGCAACTTGGTACCTCTGTCCAGTCTCCTTAATGGCTTCTGAATCCCGTTCACTTATCTAGTACTGGGTACTCTTCCCTCCACCACACCATCTCACTCTGTCCATGTGTGTCTCACAGCAAGCCAGCTAAAGTGGAATTCCGTGGTTCTTCCCCTTCCCGTCCCAGTCATCTTACTTCGTCTCAGGATTGACCCTTGGTTTGGTGGCACCAAGCCAGGACCACAAGGTCTTCCTAAGTTTGTTCCCCTCTTGTATCTCTCCCTTGCTGCCCAGAAGTCCTGAGGGTCCATGCTGCTGCCTCCTAAACAGCTCCCAGATGCCCCTCTTCGCTGTCCCACTGTGGAACCCGGGAAACCTTTGTCTGCCACTTCTTCCTCTACATGCCCCACCGTTTACCCTCTCCTCCCCACCACAGCAACCCTGACTCCCTTTGCCCAAAGAGGTGTGGTGAGTCCCGAGGAAAACAGTGTTGGTGACCTCTGTTACAGCCTGGTCTCTTGTGTCTTCAGCACCCAAGCTGCTCTGTCTGTCCGTCCGTCAGTCTCTAGGTCCTGTACTCCTATGCTTCTGAGTCTTGGCTCAGACTCATCCCATTCGCTTCACTCTTTCCCTCTTACGCTCCTCAGTGTTCCTGAACCCACTGTGGGAACACCGGCCATCCTCCCATCATCCTCTGCGCTTCCTGAGACACCCTCTCGTAGTTAGGGTTCTGTTGGTGTGATACAATGCCACGGCTGAAAGCAGCTTGTGGGATGAAGGGTTTATTTCAGCTCTAACCTCCTGGCCCACACCCTGTCACTGAGGGGAGTCTGGGCAAGAGGTCAAGGCAGGAACCTGGAGGCAGAGCTGGAAAAGAGGCCGTGGAGGAGTGCTGCTTACTAGCTTGCTCCTCCTGCTTTCTTACAGAACTCAGGACCACGTGCCCACGGGTGGTACTGCCTCTGCTGGGTGTAGGACTCGTGTTATTTGTTCCAGTTGTTGACTTGTCCCTTCCCTCCCAGCCTCGCTTGCTGCATGGGGTCTGAGGTGGCTCAAAATCAGTTTCTCATGCCGGGTTGCATGTGCCTCTGAGGTAGTCTTTGTGGACAGACTGAGAATTACAACCGGGTTTAAGAGGAAATTTACAGTTTTAGATTCAGCAGAGCCCCTGGGAGATGGTTGCCAGGGTGATAGCTCAAGCAAACAAGGTTTGTCCTGGGGCAGGGCCACCTTGGCCTCTAGCTCTACCAAAGACTTGAATTCTGACTCTGTCTCAAGCAAAGTCTGTGTGACTGGGGCTCCGGGCAGATAGAATGGGCCCGCCTGGTTTTGTCTAAGTGTGGAATGAGAATGGTTCCTCCAAACAGTCTCTTTTTTCCTGACTCGGAGGAGAGACGATGAGCAGGCACACAACCTGAGGCAGAATTGTATATCTCATCACAGTGTGGCGCCTCCAACTTCCCGAAGCCCACTGTTGTTTCTTCAGTAAGAAAATCCATTCAGCTGAAGCACTGTATAACTAGCCAGGCATTCAAAGAGGCACGTCTTGGTGAAGCTGACATTGTGTTGTCAGGAACTGCATTTGCCTCTTCTGTGACATTATTAAGAGGAAAGGGAGGGAGGTTTCCTGGCCACCGATGCCCGTGAACAGCACTGGGTATCTTGGCAAGTTGCAGCTACAGCAGGTGATGTGCCCAGGTAGACATTTATTGATGGGAAACTAGGTCAGTGGCACCTTTTCCTGGGGATGACAATTGACCGGCAATGGGCTGATTAGTCAGTAGCATTTGACCCACAACTTCTATTGCTCATGATGACTAGCTTGCTTTCCTTGTCACTGTATCTGTAGCTACCCAGCGATTTGGAATCCACACCTACAGGGCAAGTGTTAAGAGAGCTGAGATTCATTCTCCCCAGCACAATGGCTGCAGAGCTGGAAACCTGGAAACTCACCCCCCCATCACATAAGCTTTGAAAATACCGATTTCTTTACAGCTGGTGACTTCTCAGGCAAAGGGCTCAATGGTTGATGTTCTTTATTCCTCCTATGGTACACAGTGTGCTATGGATAAGACCTTTCCTTCTTTGAGAGCTTGCCGTGTGGTTAGGCAGGCAAGCAGAGCTAGCTTTCCTGGCCTCCACGGTCAGCAGAGCCCAGTCCTGCTAGTGTGTCTGGATAAGTAAGTGCCCTGTGGTTTCCTAGGAAGGGTGGCTGGAAACATGCTCTCCGATCATCTCCCTATCCCATCATTTTCTTTCATTCATTCCGCAGACACTTGGCTCTTTTCTGTGTGTCAAATACTGTGGTAGATGCTTAGGGTACAGCATTGAGTAAAGAAGCTGAGCACTGACATGCTCTTGGAGCTGACATTCAGGGCAGAGATGTAAGAAAGAAGCAAGCATGTTTATAGCATCTCAATTCTTGCAAGAACTACGAGGAAGTCAGGGGGAAGAGGAGGAGACAAAAGGAGGAGACAGTTCAGTCTCAGACTGGGTGGTCTGAGAAGGGGACCTGTAAGCAGAGCTGAAGGACAGTCAAAGCAAGCACCCCTGGAGATCCAGGGTAAGTTCCACAGACGAGCTGCCAAGGCCTGGTGGAGGGAGAACAAGAAGCAAGGCCTGTCAGATTTGGGGGTTTGTTACTGTCTCCATATTTAGCACCAACTCCCCAGACCAACTCCCCCGGCACTCCCGTCACATGCTTTATGAATGCCATGGGAGAAGAGGAAGAGATGGGGGCCTGACCACAAGGCCCTTGAGGTGCCTTCTTGCCCTGCCTGGGTGCTCCAGTTCTGGAAGAGCCAGCTTCCAGCATTTGCCTTAGGCAGGACACGCCTCCAAGGTGGTGGAACTGGAAACAAAGCAGCTGGTCCTTGTTGCTAGGTTTACAGGCACCACAGACTTTACTCACTTTTAAGAAGAAAGAGGGATTTCCAGGAATGTGCCTTAAAAGTAGGTAATTGAGTAGTAATTATACCATTTCCATGGCATTTTAAAAACATTAAAATTTAAATAACAGGAAATCTTCAGAGGCCTGACCACATAAAAAGACCAGGCTAGAGTCATAATAACTAACCAGATCTGTTGTGTCTTAGTTTATAGCCCCCCTGTCACCTTAGTTTAGGACTGATTCTCTTTCTGCTTGCTGATGGAGAGATCCGGTTAAGTGCCCTTACGTCTGGGAGGGGAAACGAAGCGTGTTATGTAATGAGCTCACTGAACACCGCCAGCCCTTCCCAGCTGATAGATGACAGACCTTACCTAAACCCTAACTGTAAGATAATCAATTAAATTAACAATTTTTACATTAGCTTGGAAAGAGAGGTTTTGTAATTGATACATGCAATAGTGTCAGTAAAATACCCATAATGCTTTAAATAACAGACCTAATTGTAAGTAAATAGGCTACCCAAGGAAGGTCCAATGTCAATAGATGGAGCTAAATAAATGCAGATCAAGTCATTAATAATGCAAGAACACTCGTGAGTCCTCAGTTGGAATATACACATGTATACAAACGCAGTAAGGTTACTGAGTGGGTCTAGTCCAAAGGATATTCTTGATGGGTATTCATAATCTCTTTAGTCTGAGGTAATGAGCTCTCTCCTATTTTTCAAT